ATATCCAACCTAAAACTGATTTCACCTCGGTTACTGACCATATCAACCGACACTGAGGACGCGAAACCAAAACTAATAACGATACAGCGGTGCAACACTAACTTGCGGAAGCGCTTTTGTTGTGTCCACATGTACTCTGTCGCGGTGCTTACGGATGATCAGTGTTAGTTATTTACACGTCAAAATGAAAATATTTGATAATTCTCGTGTTTTTTGGCTTTGTAGCTACTTTCTATATCACTCCACAACGGAAGGTAATGTTTTAATTTCCTTTAATGAACTCTGTATCGTGTTGGAGATTCATAGGGGCAATCATATACCATTTTCTTCGAAATGTAACTTAGTTTTTCTTTTTCTGTATAAGTAAGTTGCAAATTCATTTCTACAAAAATGCAACCCTGGTGGTTTGCGGAAATCATGCAGTTTCAGAATATTAAAGGTTTTCAGAGTTCAGAAAAGCGTATCTATTTCTCTGCTCCTGTTTCACCGACGCCCTGTAAACATAGCTGGTAATGAACCGCGATGCTCCTCCTTAATAACGGACTGCAGGACGCTTCTCACCCCCCGCTTTCTCCTCTCTGCAGCTATTCGGGTTGTAGATGGACCGGTATCCGTCACGGAAGGAGACAGCGCTAATTTACACTGCGAACTGATAGAGACTGATGATGCTCTGGAGCAGGTATCCTGGCAGAAAAGGACGCGAGAGATTCCCGAGAATATCAACTTCTTGGTCATCATACCCCCCGAAGATGTAAGACACGTGAACGGATTAGGGCATCGGGTCCGGTTTATTGGAAACTTAACCAAGAAAACTGGATCTATTCAGCTTTTGGACGTATCGCTGCAAGATGAGGGGGTGTATACCTGTATCTTCACGGTGTTCCCAAGCGGGCCGCACCAGACGGAAATTAGGCTTAATGTTCGAGGTAAGTTTGGAAGAAATACAAAAGCCCCCACAACAAATGAACACTTCGTAAGGTCTGAAAAAACTATATAAGAATATATATATTCTGGAAAATATAAGAAACTGTGTGGGTTTGTGATGGTGCTAACAGGAGCAGGATGGTGCTCAGTACACAGAAGGAGTAAGCTGGATTTTGTGTAGTCTGAGGCTGTTAATCACTATCACACATTAATGCATATGGTGAGCAAATCATTTGTTGTGACCTAAGGTCCCATTGCGGCTGTTAGTAATGCCTTCAGTCTGTAACACTTCTCACTTTAAGTCACAAGGCTGTCATGTGACACAATCACAGCCATGCTTTTATTGAACTCTTCAGCAATTTACAGCATTAAAATGTGCAGTACAGTCTGGAGCAAATGGCCATGCTGACACGTGTCGGGAAATACTTCCACTCCAAATTAATCACTGCATTTAATAAAAGATCATTTTGCCTCATTAAATAATACTTTTGTCTTATTATTTTCAGAGGTGGAAAGTTCAGAATCAGAATCAAGTTTATTTTCCAAGTATGTGTGTGTGGCACCCACAAGGAATTTGTTTCTGCCAGTTGGTGTCTCTCCTGTACATTACAATACGATTGAACAAAGCAGTACAAATTAAATAAAATATAAAAGCAACATACAAGGTACAAAGTGAATGGTATGTCATATTCAGTTCAGTGGTGTGTTGTGAGTGGAGCAGGGTGTAGCAGGGAAACAGGTGTAGGTTGGTGTTGCAGGTCAGATGTTTGTAAGGGTGATGGCTTGAGGGTAGAGACTGGTCCTGGTCTGTAGATTTATGAATCGTGTGCCATTGGGGAGGAGTTCAAAGAGACGGTGTCCCGGGTATAATGGGTCAGTGAGGATTTTTCCTGCCCTTTTCCTGGTTCTAGAAGTGAACAAGTCCTGGAGGGAGAGCAGGGGGCACAAATGATTCCTTCTGCTCTCCTAACTGTACATTGCAGTCTGTTGCTGTCCTGTTTGTTTGCTGCTCCAAACCAGACTGTGATGGAGGAGCACAGGACAGACTCAGTGACTGCTGGGTAGAACTGGATCAGCAGCTCCTGTCGGAGATCGTACTTCCTCAGCTGTCGCAGGAAGTACATCCTCTGCTGGGCCTTCTGGAGGATGGAGGAGATGTTGCTCTCCCACTTCAGATCTTGGGAAATTATTGTTCCCAGGAACTTAAAGGTCTCCACAGGTGACACAAGGGTGCTGCGTATGGTGAGGGGGACCAGTGCTGAGGGGTGTTTCCTAAAGTCCACTCTCATCTCCATAGTCTTGAGCGTGTTCAGCTCCAGATTGTTCCGGCTGCACCAAAGTACCAGTCGCCATCTTAGATTAGTCCGATGACTGTGGTGTCGTCCGCAAACTTCAGGAGTTTCACAGCTGGGCCCATGAAGGTGAAGTTGGTGTAGAGGGAGAAGAGCAGGGTGGACAGGAGACAACCCTGAGGTTGTGTTGGTGTTGAACCCCGAACTAAAAAAAAAAATGGTGTTGAATACGAACTGAAGTCCATAAACAGGATCCTTGCATAAGTCCCTGGACGGTCTAGGTGTTGCAGGATGTAATGCAGTCCTATTTTCACTGCATCATCCACTGACCTGTTTGCCCAGTAGGCAAACTGCTGGGGGTCCAGCAGGTGTCCTGTGACATTCTACAGATGGGCCAACACCAGACATTCAAAGGATGTCAGGACGACAGGTCTGTACTCATTTAGTCCAGTGATGGAGAGTTTCATGGGGACTGGGATTATGGTGGAGCGTTTGAAGCAAAACACAAAGTCAATGACAGAGAGCTGTACCGAGGCTACCATCTGCGGAACCCATTTTCATTGGTCAAGTACAAATCCAGACCAAGGTTTTGTTTCAGCCAACCGCTTGAGTACTCTGTGACTGACTCGTTCAGCTCAACTGGTTGGTTGAAACAAAACTTGGGTCTGGATTTGTACTTTCTGGACCGGAACTTTCCACCTTTGGTTATTATCCTGCACAGGTCAGCAGAAACACGACTATGATCTTA